AGACACTCAAAGAGAAAGAAATACGAGCTTTTGAAGCAGTCAATATAGCTGATGAAAGCTTTGTAAGTAGAATAGATAATGTGTTGTCGGTCTCGCCAAATTGTGACAACTCTAAAAACTTGTGGTTCTTGATTCACGATGTTCCTATCATATGTACCTTCATCGAGATTGGTTCACCAAATACAAGAGCATCGATAGTGGATCAGTTTTGATGGGGAATGATGTAGCTTACAAAACCATTGGTGTTGGCACAATTACTATCAAGATGTATGATGAAGTTGTAAGAACCTTGATTGATGTTAGACTGGAAAGAAGGTCAAGTGCTTGAGAACTGATAATTATAGAAGGTATACTTCAGCAGAGTTTGTGAATATTTGCAAGAGTGAATGAATTCTTTTTCTTTTTACCACTCCGAAGACACTGCAACAGAATGGAGTTGTTAAATACATGAACATGACACTTCTAGAGAAGGCTTGCAACATGTGGAGTAATGCTGATTTATCAAAAGACTTTTGGGCAGAGGTGGTCAATACATCATGTTACCTCGTCAACAGGTCACCGTCTGCGACAATCGATTACAAAACACTACAAGATGTATGGTCCAATAAACTTGTTGCTTATTCTCAATTAAGAATTTTTGGTTGTCCTGGCATGCGGTAAAATGGATTCTGCGTTACCTAAAGGGTACATAAGATGTAGGTCTGATGTTTGATAGAGATAGCAAGTTTAGTGACAAGGTTATTGGTTATGTTGATTATGACTTTGCAGGTGATTTGGACTGTAGGAGATCTACTACATGTTATTTATTTACACTTGTAGGAGCTCCAATCAGTTGGAGGTCGATGTTACAAATCATGGTTGCCTTGTCTATGACTGAAGTAGAATACATGGCTGTTATCAAGGCAGTGAATCAAGACATCTGCCTTAGATGGCTTGTAAGCGATTTGGGCTTACGACAAGAAGGGACTGTTATTTATTGCGACAGTTAGAGTTCAATATATTTGACGAAGAACCAGGTATATTATGCAAGGACGAAGCATAATGACGTCATATATCATTTGATCCTTGAAATCATAACTGAAGGGACTATTATTTATTGTGAACAATGTTTTAAAAATCGGCGAGGCGAGTCGAACAGGACTGGCCCGGTTTGACTCGGGAACCGGCACAGCCCGTGCCTGTTCCGATACAAAATCGGGAACCGCCCAGTTCTAGAGAAGAACCGCCGGTTCCAATCCGATTCAGTCTGGTTCTACCCGGTTCAGCCCAGTTCTGTCCGGTTCTACCCCGGTTCCCTCCCTGCGATGCGCACGTGTACGCGTGCGACACGTGTGAGGTTCCCCTAATACTTCTACACAAACATTTTAATCTATATTACATAGGTATTTATATACTAAAGTGGAATACCCATCTTTCGATGTGGGATAATTCCCAAACATCATTAAATGAAAAGGGAATTTAAATATATTATATTAATCATCAAGTTATAACCATATATGGTGAGGTGGCGTAGTGGTTGAGACTTTTGCTTCTTCAAGTGATGTCTCAAGGTCGAGTCCCCTCGTGGGCGTTATTTTTAATTGTTGTATAGTTTTTTTTGTATATATTGTATAAATATTTTTTTAAATAATATAAAAAGCATAAAAAAATGAAAAATAAAAAAGTTAATTTTTTGTATAGTAGTTAATTTTTGTTGTATATCGTGGTATAATTATTTTTTTAAATAATATGAAAGGCATAAAAAAATAAAACATAAAAATTTTATTCTATTTGAAATCTCCATCTTCCTACTAACAATCTCTTTCACTAAATTTATTATAGAAATCTAAAAAAATAAATTTTTGAAAAATTGAAGTGTTATTTTCAAAATTTGTACGCATTTTATTAATTTTTACATTGATAACCAAATCTTTTATTTTATTTATTAATTTTTACATTATAAATCATGTAATGTACTATTTTTCTTACAGTTGTCAATAATACATTTTAAATTAGATAATATTATAAAATATTTTTAATTTGTTATTATTTGTCTAATAAAATAATTATAAAAAGTAAACTAATAATTATAATTTTAGTATATAATATTATAATTAGTTAGGTTTTAATAATTTTGGATTATAGTTAGTTTGACTGTAATAATTTGGATTTTTTTAGCGGATTAGGGTTTTTTGCCAAAACGAGATTTTAATGGCCATTCTTTCATTGATTAGTCTACTCTTTATAATAGTCCATGTATAATTATATATTTTATCTATGATAATTCTATGATTTTTCTTTTATGTGATGCAAATTTAATGGTTAACATAGGTTTATATAGGGAAAGAGCATCTCAATATTCACAAATTGATGAAAAAAATGAAAGTTAATAATGTAGTACCTTCATTTTTTATTGGATTCCTAAAAAACAATATTTATAATAAATTTTAATAATTTTTTCGGATTTTTTTGAAGCTTTAAACCGATCGATTCAACCAATTCCCGATCCGGATCGATTTTTGAGATGCCCGATCCGGGTCACCGATCCGTTTTTTAAACCATTGATTGTGACAATCAGAGTTCAATATATTTGGTGAAAAATCAGGTATGTCATCCAAGGACGAAGCATATTGATGCTAAATACCATTTTATCCTTGAAATCATAGCTGAAGGTGATATCTTGTTATTGAAGTTTGACAAGAAGAAGAATATTGCATATATGTTGACAAAGCTAGTTTCATTATAGAAGTTCAAGCTATGCATGGACTTGACTAGTGTGTTGCCCACGTAAGCGTCTGTGGAGGCACGTGTGGAGAAGACGGTTGATGGGAATCTCTTTTGGAATCCAAGCCAAGGTGGAGATTTGTTGATTTGTCTTGCATTCCAAGATAAGTCACAGTTAGGTTTCCATACTTTGTTGGGATGTAATCCCAAATTTTAGGAAACAAATATTTTTGGATATTTCTAAATTGGCAAGAGAGGGGCATAAATATTTTTCCCTCACTTGATCTCTCTTTGGGTTTCCTATTTATTTGGGTAGTTCCTATTATTTAGGATAGACATGAGAGTCCAAACTAGATAAAGATAAACTTATGTACCCTATAGTTATGGGAAATGATAGAGCCTCATGTACCACTTTATGTGGATCTGCTTTTTCTATATAAAGGCTATTTTAGATAGAGAAAATTGATCCAACAAAAAAAAAGGGAAACTTTTGGGGGCTTTTGTAGAGAGAGAAAATTGTAGAGAAGAAGGCTTTGTGAGAGCTTGAGTCTCTGATACTCTCAAGTAAGTTGCTTTGTAATTTTTTTTCTTTAATTTAGTGAAAAACATCGATTGTCTTCGCCCGTGGATGTAGTCACATATGTGATGAACCACGTTAATCCTGGTGTTCTTTTCTGTTATTTATTTCATGCTTTATTTTTGTTGCTTGTTGCTTGCTTTTGTCGATTCTTTTTCTTATATTTAATTTGCTAAAAATCAACCTATCAAGTTTAGGTCTTCCACACACAATAGGATAGACCAAAAAAGACATAGTTAGAAGTAATGAGAAAAGATGTGCTAACTTATGGCCTCACTAAGGGTATGATATTCATATAGCCAACCCCAAATAGTTGAGAAAAAACTCAAATGATGATGATGAGAGTTCTTTCATAGCTCCAAATTAAATCTTATATAAGTTAGAGGTGATTTGGAGCTTTTCTATGTACCATAGCTAACCTTAAAAGTGTTTTTTTTTTTCTTTCCTTGAGATGGGGAACATTATAATTTGAAGTGCATCTAAAGTTCCTAGAGATTCTTAGAAAGTCTTCCCAATTAAAATGGTGCAAAATTTGAAAGGAACAAAAAATCATTCCCCAATTCACAATAACTTCGCCCAAAATATTTATTACCACTCCAGCATCTGACGTACTTCAAATCAGCATTCCAAAAAATAGGTTCTCTCGTGTCTCTGATATTTCACAACTAACCAATCCAACGATCTTTTTTTTTAGTATTTTCATCCATGTCTTTTAGGCCTTCCCCTATTCTATTTAGAGCCTTCTACTTGAATAACTTGTATCTCTTAATCGGTGTTGTATTGGGTCTATGTTGCATATAGCCCACCCACTTAAATCTACTTTCTTTCATTTTATCGCATATTGAAACCACACTTAAGTTCCCTTGCCACTTAAGTCTACTTTCCTTCATTTTATCGCATATTGAAACCACACTTAAGTTCCCTTGAATGTGTTTATTTCGAAGTCTATCTTTTTTTGTCTTGCCACTCATTCATCTCAATATCATCATCTCAGCTACACTCAACTTTCTGTAAATCTATTTTTGAACTACTACATGAAATTAGAAAATAAAGCTAAAAAAAAAAGAAAAACAGGTTAAAAGTGAATAAAGAGGTGAAAGAAATGCAAGAGTGAATATATGGCCTCTCATATTATACCCCTAGTAAGGGACCCTTAATAAGGATTCTCATAACTTTAGGTAACTTTAGGTAGCCAATCCTGGTTTTGGATTTTGACAAGTGAGCATTCTCCCTTGTGTTTTCAAGGCATAGGGTATCGATCATCTTGTAGCTATGGATTATTTCAACGTACCTTGCATCCCTAGATTCATCAGAATTATTATTTTCATGATATTTCAAGTATTTTTGAGGACACTGAAAGGCGCAAAAATCTGAACTACCCTAAAGGGGTTTGGATTACTCTACATTCTCTTCTGTTCTGGTTTTTTTGTTTTTATGAGAAATGATTAATCTAGATACTTTTTGAAGTTGCTCCTACTTAGATCTCCATTTCAAGAATGTTCTAAACAACCCATGGGGGGTGCAAAACGTTTTGGGACCCTCAACTTTTCAGCCCATTAGTACATGGACCAGAATCTTATGAAATATCGAATCTCCCCAAAATCTCTAAGTATGAGAATAACTACTATGCAATCCTTTGAAATTACTTATTTGAGGCCTCTTAGATGTATCATGCAAAAAATCATGGTTTTAACTTAACATTATTTATCTCTTTGTGCAGTTTGGAGACATGGTATTTCATGGTCTTGATTCTCTTTGCTGGATATTTGAAGAATGCCGAAATTTCGGTCGATGCTTTCTCCATATGGTGAGCATAGATTTCCAAGAATTAACCATATATTTACAACATTTATTAAGGACAAATGTGGATGTACCCCTATGGGGTTGATTAAAGAAAGGGGACAACAAATTATGACCCATGTGACTAGAAGAATAGTATGGCCATAAGCAACAATCACATCCACATCAATGGTTTGAAAGGTGATAGTTGGAGAGTGAGTCCCACCATTTAACCCATTGATTCGAAGGTGTTTCTTGTTTTCATGTTAACATAATTTTTATTAACCAAATATGCACATTGAGCAAGATGTTGTCGTCATCATCATCAAAACTTTTTTCAATTATTTAGGGTCAGCTATACGAATCCAGATCCGTCATTCTGTTCTATCAAAGACCACACTTCAGTGAGGTCATAAGTCCCAAAATCTTTTCTCACTACTTCCAACCATATCTTTTTGGGTCTACTCCTTGTCCTTTTTGAGTAAGACGTCCAGAATAAAATAAAGTGGTTACAAAAGCACAAGAAAAGATAACATAAAAAAGTATTTACATCACTAACCTTAATATCCAAAGTCTTATCTTCCCCTAACTCCATCAATCATTGCTGCTAGGAGAACTCCTTTTAGTGCTGCAACCTAATTATTTCTACTACATTGAGCTGATTCCAAATAATTTAGATAATGCTCAGATGATGATGATGATGATGATAATGATAGTGAGAGGACCTCTCCTTTGCCAAAACGTGTCCTCAACTCGACATGAAGGTGATAACCTATGACCACATTGTTATCATGACTTGCATGTCATGTACAGGACCCAGAGTAACATGGCTGAGTTAATTAAGTATCAAATAGTTTATTGTACTCAAAACATATGATTTCATCCTTCTAATTTGGTTGTTTGCCAAAAAAATTATTTTTCCATTATGCTCATGGACTGGTTTTCTGGCTCTTGTGGACTTATGCAGTACGAATATTTTAGGCTGGGCAATGATGGTTGCCATGGGAGCGAATGCTGCTACAAGGTCAGTTAAAGTTATCAGCAGGAAGGAAAGTAAAATTTAGTTTTGTCAACAAGTTAAGCCAGCTCGGCTCAGGTTTATATTGAGCTTGAACAATGGTTTTCAGCTTGACAAGCTAAGCCAAGCCGAACCAGCGTCTCGTGCATTAAACAATGCCAAACTTGAATTGAGCCAAACTCAGCTTGAGCATGTTTAGTGCATTATATATTAAAACAAAGACAAATTTATTGAACCAGACACAACAGACACCATTTACCATTTTACTTATTTCTTTTGCCCTAGTGTCAAAATGCCTCAAAGGGCGTCGTAAGTTTAGATTTTGGTGTGTTCTAAATGCACCTAATTCTAGTGCGTCTAACATCCAAAATATAACTCCAGAGGTCCATCATCTCTACCATCATGAACATGAATCTAAAGAGAAAAAAAACACGTAAATATAGTCCATCATGTAACTTTTTTTGGACAATTCATTTCAATTCTTCCAAGATAATTAGATTTATATTATTTTCGAGGTTATTCATGGATTATTTTCGAGGTTATTCATGGATTGCGGTAGCAATGAATTTGCAGTGATTTTGGATAGTTTCAAGTCCAACAATCCTTGAAAACCACAATGGATGCATAAGTAGGTGGAGTAACTAAAAACCTGTTGATGTCAACAATAGATTACACGTTGTTTGATGGACGATTTTCCAATTTTGCCCCTCCATCAAAATGATTGTAGCTTTCAAGAAAACCACCTACAAGGAATGTTGGTATTTTGAAATATCAATATCTCACTATAAATACCCTATATAATATTAATGGTATTTCAAACATCAATTTCTCACTTAAGTAATTTACTTTGATATGAGTATTTTTGGATACCATTATCTCACAAGGTCACTTTGTGGGATATTGGTATTTTGGTTTGTACACCAATGATGGGTGTCAAATTTGTATAAGATGCAGGGTAAATTCAGCATATTAAATAAGGGTGTGGTTTGTATAAGGCCGAGGCCCTATACAATCAAAGTAAGGCACACTTTCAAATAATCTTGAAAGATATTGTTTCAATATTGGAAATCTTTGTGATAATTTGAAATTTTATTTTTATCTCTAATTATAAAAGTTAAAGCTTCAAAAATAATGTAGATCGAGCAGATCTATGAACACTTGAAAATTTTGAAAATTGACGGTCCGAAAATACATTACAAGAAGAAGTATTATTTCCAAGATTTTAAGTTCATTTTTTCTCACATCCATACATCTTGAGGTCAAGATAATCAATTTGAGGATTTTTGGGTACCAAAACAACTTCTTTTAGTGAATTTTTGAGGTGCGCCTCAATTTAATTGTTTAGGGCCTCGCCCTTATATAAACTTTTCCATTAAATAATAGATCTTGGTCTAGTTTCTCATTTTCTCTTTGCTATAATGATAATAAAATCTCTCTCTCTCTCTCTCTCTCTTTCTCTCTCTCTCTCTCTCCATGTTGTGACTGTGCAGTGTGAGAGTTTCTAATGAATTGGGAGCTGGTCATCCAAGGACTGCAAAATTCTCAGTGGTGGTGATGCTGATAACAGCGTTTATTATAGGATTGGTTCTCTCCATGATTTTACTGGCAACAAGAAATCAATGGCCCAAAGCATTCACTAGTAGTCAGACAGTTGAGAAACTTGTTTCTGAGCTCACCCCTCTCCTTTGCATCTCCATTGTTGTAAACAATGTGCAACCGGTGCTCTCAGGTGCAGACTCACTTGCAATTTGAAGTGGTCGTATTCAAATTACTAATTTTCCTGGGGTTTTATTTTTCATGCTTTTTGGTGAAGAAAAGCTCATTAGATTAAATTTTTTTTTGGAAATAATGGTGTGTGACCTAGCTCGTTCATGCTTACGTGTGACGCCCTAGTGGCCACCATCCGATCCCCACCATGGATGGTGTCGATGATTCACATTGTAGCTAAAACTTAACTGTTGTCCACGAAAACCGTGATCTGCGGCAGTGATGAGGATTGAGCGGTGGAGATCAATTCTCACATATAACAAGTAGGATAGATCATTGCTCTTCTGAGTTTTGCTTATCTCTTGTCTATTTGCAATGCCATTTTTCTGAATTTTGCATAGGACATTAATGTTTGTGTAAGAGAGAGAGGGGTTAGCCTCTTACAAGAATATACTAGACATTTATACCTTGGGTATATGACATTCTTAGGAGTTTTTATATGTGATGAGTATTCCAAGAAAAAATGAATTTGACTTATTAAATACTTAGATTTGACTTATTAAATACTTAGATTTGACAATCCAAAAATTGGTTGATGATAGGACATTACTTTTTTCAAGCATTTATAGAGTGCGTATCAAAATTTCCTTTTTTAAAATTAGCAGCCTGGTTGAAGAGGTCGCTTCTACAAAATTTTGGCATAAAATACTCCTAGATAGGGTTTTACCTGAGGCAGTGAATCTCTAATATACAGCAGGATGTTGCAAGAGGATATAATACTTTAGATACTTCTTTTGAAATTTTTACAAATTCAAAGTTACTTGCAGCACCTCTTATGGATGACACATAATCATGAATTACAATGGTTACTATGCGATCATTTATTTTTAGTACACTGAGCTCACAATTATTCATAGCCCTTAGATGTCAAATTGGATGGTTTGGGTTGTGTCACGAAGTTCGAAATTATTTTCAATCTTTCAAACTCTCTTTTTTTTTTTGTTAATTAGTGGTAGGAATCGAGATACCCAAACATATTGAGGTATAAACTTCATTCATTCTAGGTTTTTGATTGATTTGATATTTGTCTTTTTTTCTCTTTTTTAGGGGTGGCCATTGGAGCAGGGTGGCAAGCAATAGTTGCTTATGTAAACGTTGGATGTTATTATGTTGTTGGCATTCCTCTTGGTCTAATCCTTGGTTATGCTCTAAACTTTGGAGTCACTGTAAGAACCAGTTCCCTATATATATTATTCTGATTTAGAATTATAGTTTTAGAGCTAATAATTAATTTTTTATGTATAGATCCTAATATTTAAAGGAGTTTGAATATTTAGGGAATTTGGTATGGCATGCTTGCTGGAACTGTGCTACAAGGAATTATTCTTATCATTTTGACATACAGAACAAACTGGAATAAAGAGGTAATGGTATCTTTCTTTTCTTTGCATTTCTTATAATTTGGAAGAAACAATCTATTTAGTCTTTCATGTTACATTTTTTTTTATGATAATTTATTTGAGTATTGTCTAAATTTCTTGTTTTTATAGGCATCCATGGCTGGGGATCGAATAAAGCTTTGGGGAGGATATAAGGGAAAGACCGGGATTGAAGAGAAGTAAATGCTTTTTAAAACTTGTATATTTGTACTTCTTGTTTTTCAATACTTCGAGATGTATGGATATAAAGTAAAAGGTAAGCTTTCTATGCTTCTCCTACAACATAAATCTTATATACATCCCCTTATCCAACCGTCCATTCTGAATGGAAGGTTAAGATTGTCCCAATCACAATATCATGTCTTTACACTATTTTATTTTTAACCTTTTTCTATAAACTATTTTGACACCAAATTGTGAACATCCAATCTTCTATTAAACTTGCACTAGAAAAAAATATAAAAAATATTTTCAATAAAATAAAATAACCAAAATACCCTTAAAAATTTCAAGGGATATTTTGGTCATTATATTTTATCGAAAAATTATTTTTAATATATTTTATAGGTGCGACCCAATGAGAAGATGACATTTACCCAACTTCATATTCATACAATTTGTATAAAAAAAAAAACTAAAAATAAAATACTTTGAGACGCTGGATCTAAGATCAAACGGTGAGTGGCTCTCTTGATCAAAATTGGACAACTAGATGGTAGGGGAAGCATAGATCTTCTATGCTGTAGCGGAAGTATAGAAATATTTTCATAAAGAAAAAAAAAGTGAATTTCAATCCTAAAAGTAGTGCATTTTATAATAAGGTATCTTGACAATCTATTTTTAAGATTTTCAAATATTTATTGATTTGCTCGATATGTAATGTTTTTAAAGTTTTGATTTTTATAATTAGAATGAACATGGATTTTCAAGCCATTGTAATGTTTTTTATACCAAAATTACAATTTTTAGAAAAATTTAGAGGTGCGCCTTACCTATATAGTATAAAGGCGGGCACCTTAAACAAACCTCACCCTTGTGCAATAGATCCTTTAATCTCATAGTTGTCATCATTAGAGATTTTTACTATTTATTTGGGGTAGGGTATACGAATTCTACTATGGTATTCTATTCTATCAAGGGCCATACCTTCAATGATGTAGAGAAAGATGGATTCCACAATACCGGAACAATCGCCTTCTCAATTAGTGTAACAATGTCACACTAGGCCAAGACTCACAACCAAATAGAAAGAAGAAGAACATTAAGTGGAATAAAAACAATCATTCAAAGATGAAAAATAAGGTACACAAAAGCATTACCATCATGATACTCAAGATTAACCTTAATACGTGTGACCCAAGGGTATACAAAGGCATTAGAATCTTGATACCCAAGATTAACATTAATACATGTGACCCAATTTTCCCACCACAAGTCTATCTTTTAAATAAATATTTTTACAACCATATTTTCTACAATAACTACCCACTTACAACTATAACTTCTAACCTACAACAATAACTACTAACCACCTAGTAGTTTCATAACTTCTCATTACACAAACTTACAAGTACAACCTCACTATATCAGTAATAATAAAATAACATAAAAACTAATATGGTTTCTAGAAAATACACTTTTACAAATTTAACACTCCCTCTTAAAGTGATTTTTTAGAAAGGAGATCATGCATACGCGATCTTCTCCATCATTTTCGAAACTAAAAATCTGGCTATTTCGCAAGCCACCAAAGAGATTCTCAAATTCCACTAAGAAGGGCTGCATAACTCACCATTGAATATAGATTAGAAATATACCCCTTCTTTAACCCATGAATGAATGATAAGTCACTTCATTCGTGCCTCCGAATAAGTTCTTACAGATCAACGATATATCTCCAAACAAAGATTCTAAATCTTTAAGAAGAATTAAGAAATAGAAAGACCGCTTCGAGTTGAGTTCCCAACTCAACATTGAAACCATTAAACCTTCCATCGAATTCATCTTAAAAAAGACAATTGATCTTCTTCATTAAAGGAGTTAAGACCACATAACTACCACCCTTGTGGCTTTGATACAATGTAGAGAAAGACGGACGCCATAATACTAGAACAATCCACTTCTCAATTAGTATAACAATGTCACATCAGCCCAAAACTCACAACCAAATAGAATAAAGAAGAACAACCAAAATTAAGTGGAAACAAAACATTCATTCAAAGATGAAAAATAGGTACAAAAAGTCATTACAATCTTGATACCCAAGATTAACATTAATACATATGATCCAGAGGTACACAAAAGCACTAAAATCTTGACACCCAATATTAACCTTAATACATGTGATCCAATGTTCCCACCACAAGCCTCTCTTTTAAATAGAGGTCTTTATAACCTTATTTCCTACAATAATTACCCACTTACAACTACAACTACTAACTTATAACAATAAATACTAACCACCTAGTAGTTTTATAACTTCTAATTACAAAAAGTTACAAGTACAAGCTCACTACATCATTCATAATAATAATAAAATAACATAAAAACTAATATGGTTTCTAAAAAGTACACTTTAACAAATTTAATATTCTCTCTTAAAGTGATTTTCTAGAAAAGAGACCATGCATATGTGTTCATCTCCGTCATTTTTCGAAATTGAAAATCTGGCCATTTAGCAGGCCACCAAAGAGATTCTCAAATTCCACCATGGAGGGCTGCATAACCCAACCTTGAATAGAGATTAGAAATATACTCATTCTTTAACCCATGAATTATAAGTCACTTCATTTGTGCCTCTGAATAGCTTCTTACATATCAACAAGAGATCTCCAAACAAAGATTCTAGATCTTTAAAAAAAATTGGCAAATAGAAAGACCGCCTTGATTTGAGTTCCCAACTCAACTTTAAAACCATTGGTCCTTTCACTGAATTCATCTTCAAAAAGACAATTGATCTTTTTTACCAAGGGAGTCAAGACTACATATCCACCACCCTTGTGGCTCTAATATCATGTAGAAAAACACGAATGCCACAATGCCGAAAAAATCTGCTTCGCAATTAGTGTCACATTGTCCTACTACCCCAAGACTCACAACCAAATAGAAAGACGAAGAACAACCAAAATTAGGTGGAAGAAAAACATTCATTCAAAGATGAAAAATAAGGTACACAAAGGCATTACAATCTTGACACCCAAGATTAACCTTAATGCATGTGACCTAGAGGTACACAAAGGCGTTACAATCTTGACACTTAATATTAAGCTTAATACATGTGACCTAATGTTCCCACCACAAACCTTTCCTTTAAATAGACGTTTTGACAATTATGTTTCCTACATTTACTGCCCACTAACAACTATAACTACTAACCTACAACAATAACTACTAACCACCTAGTAGTACACAAATTTACGAGTACAACCTTATTACATCACTCATAATAAAATTACATAAAAAATAATATGGTTTCTAGAAAATATACGTTAACAAATTTAACAAGTAAGGTTTTAAGTTCCCATATCTTTTCTCACTGCTTCAAACTCCTTTAGGCTCATCCATCCTTACTCTTTTTGAACCTTCTACTTGAATTAACTCATACCTCCTAACAAATGTTGTACTGGATCTGCGTTGCATATGACCAACCCACCTAAATATACTTTATCTTATCTTATTAGTTATTAGAGCCACACCTAACTTGTTCCGAATGCATTCATTTTGAATGCTATCATTTCTTGTCCCGTCATTCATTTATCTTAACATGTCCATCTCAGCTACACTCATAGTATGGGTATGATATTTCTTAACTGCGCAACATTCCACCCCATATAGCAAAGTTGGTCTCACAATTGTCTTATAAAACTTCCTCTTCAACTACAGCGGTACTCGACGATAACATGTAACTCAGGTTACACATCTCTACTTTGACCTATTCTATGTGCGACATCTTCTTCAAGCAGCATATAAAAAATCGGTCTGATCTTCTTGCCTTTCATCACAACCAGAGCACCCTTAAGAATATTCAAAACTTCACATTCTCCAATAAATTTGCAGCCATTGGAGTCTAAGGTACCCAGAGAAATGAAATTCTTCTTCAAATCTGGAGCATGTCTAACATCAATCAAGGTTCTGACAACTCTATCATATATCTTGATAGTAATTGTCCCAACACCAATGGTCTTGCAAACTGCATCATTGCACATCAAAATTGATCCACCATCAATGATCTTATATGTAGTGAATCAATCTTGATGAGGGTTCATATGATAGGATCATCATGAATCAAAACCCCACGAGTTTTTAGAGTTGTCACAATTTGTCAATATATACAACACATTATCTGTTCTACTTATCGAGCTTCCATCAACTATAATAGCCGCTTTGGAAGCTTGTCTTTCTTTCGCTATGAGTTTCCAACAATCATTGTCAACATGTCATTTTTCTTGCAATAATGGCAATAAATATTAATTTTTCCTGATCTGGATTTAGATATGGACCAGCCATGTTTTTTATGTCTCTTTCCACTTCTCTCAATAGATCCCCTCTGGCCATTAAACCATTTGCTTGTTGCTGAGTATTATCAAATTATTTTCCATAAATTATTAGATAGAAGAGTCGAAGTCACATCCTCCATCTTTATGGTATCTTTTCCATAAAACAATGTTGTGACTAGATATTCATACGAATGAGGGAGTGAGCGTGACAAAATTATAGCCTCATCCTCATCATCCATTTTAACACCAATATTCAATAATTTATAAATAATTTTATTAAAATAATTCAGATGTTCATGAATATCTATACCTTCATTCATTCGCAAGGTGTACAATTTTTGCTTAAAAAACAGTCGATTTGTGAGGGACTTTGTCATATACAAACTCTCAAGCTTCGACTAAAGACTTAATGTCGAATCCTCATTGACGATATTAAATAGCAAAATCGAATAGTGCTTGTAGCCTTCAGACTAAGTCTTCCCAGTCCTCATCAAATATGGATTCTGGTTTTTTCGACTTTTCTTTTAGAGCTTTATGTAAACCTTGTAGCACTAGCAAATCCCGAATAGTGATTTGCTAAATTCCAAATTATTTTTTCCATCAAATTTCTCCACCTCAAACTTTGCATTTGAAACTTTTACTGTCATACCGAAAACCCCAAACCAGGGCTCTGATATCACTTGTTGTGCACGTAAGCTCTAAACCCGACGTGTTGATTTTTGGCAAATAAAGTATGAGAAAAAAGAGTCGACAAAAATAAGTAACAAGCAACAAAAATAAAGCAAGAAATAAATAACAGAAAAAGAACACCAGGATTTATGTTGTTCATCACAGATGTGACTATATTCACATACGAAGATGATTGATATTTTCCACTAAATCACAGATAAAAAATTACAAGGCAACTTACTTGATGGAACCAGAGACTCAATTTCCCACAAAGCTTTATTCTCTACAATTTTCTCTCATTTCAAAGACCCCCAAAAGTTTTCCCTCTATCTTTCTAGACCTTTTTTTCTCTAAATAACCCAATATATAGAAAAACAAACCCCAAAGAGAAGGTAAGTGGGCCTCTATCTTTCCCATAAAGTTAGGAAACTTAACTTTAGCTCTATCTACTTATAACCCTAAAGCTTATCTATAAACTTAGATCCTAAATAGTAGGCTCTATCCAAATAAATAGGAAACCTAAATTTAACGTAACCAATCCCTTAAAATTAGGGATTCAAGACTATAAAAGAGCTTCAACACTTTTACCTATTCTAGATACGCACTTTCGTACACCATTCTCACTGTGAATTTCTAAAAAGCTTGAACATTTATCCCTCTCTACTCATATTTCCTCTCTTTCTCTCTCTCAAAAATACACGACTACTCTCCTTCCATCTCTAAAAATACAATACTATGGTGCTCTATACATTAGGCTTTTGGTTCGGGTACATAGAACTTAAAAGTGCATAAGGGACCTTCTGCTTTCTTATAACTAGAGCATGAATTGCTCTTCTTATGCACACCATTTACAATATCAAATGAGGACAAATCTCGTCTTAAGAAAGTGCTCTACATACCAAAAAGCATAAAAGATTTTCACTTAACTTTTTGCCTAATTCGTTCAGACTTTTTTCCCCTTTTTTACCCAATTGATTTCCATCATAAGATTAGTCCAATGATTCTTTATTTTTAGCAGAAATAAAAATTTGCGAGGCCTTCTGGGAAGTAATCCATGTATTTACACAAATCTTTTAATTCATTCATAATAATCAAATCATATTCTTCCCAAGTATTTGGATTGTGGCTTATTACTTCTTGGGCTCTCTTTTTTTTTTTTTTTGTTTATTTGCTTCTTTTGGTGGTTCTTTTATGTTTTTCTAATTTATAACACCAAAGCAATTTCTGTCTATCATCTTCATGTACCTTCTTCTCACCCCCTCGAGAGCTGAAACTAAAATAAAAGACCGAATCATTATTACATGTGTGAAAACAAATCACACATGTGGGAGTTTTATTTAACATTTTTCTTTTTTATTTTAGACTCTTGGGTTGCATCTAATCCAATAGTTGTGGTGTTGTAGGAACTTTACTATTTTAAAAGGATTAAAATCTTTTTGTTTAGAGTGAGAAAGAGTAAGAAAAAGATAGAGAGATTGGGGCTGCAATTGGGTTTTCTCTTGAGGGCTTAGTATGCTCTGTTTTAAAGAGAGAAAGTGAGCAAAAAGACTTAAACTCCATTGTGGGTTTGCTGTGTGCCATGTTTTAATGAGAGAAAGTGTAAAAGAGAACCCATTTTTGGGTGTTCTTGGAGCCTTATTTTTTGGCTCAGTTTAGAGTGAGAAGGGGCTATTGGAAATTAATATTTTGAGCTCGATTTCTCAAATCAATAAATAAAGTCTCGCGTCATTCCGTGGATGTAGGTCATGATTTGTGACCAAACCACGTTAAATCTTTGTGCTCAGTGGATTGAATGTTGCCGAAAACTCAAATGAAAGCCTAAATGATGATCGAAGGTAAATGGCCACAAAATTACTCTCTCCAAATTCTTGAAGTTTCATATCATCTAAAGGAAACCCATTTCTCAAATTGCTGCAATAACATTGATCAAATCAATGGACCCAAGACTTTGCTAACAAAATCAAGGGACGAACCCCGTTTTACAAGTTGAGAAATTACAATTAGGCGAACATAAATTCCTAGATTCGTATCAACCAGTATTCAAATTGCGGAGAAACGTAATGGTGGATGGCAATTTTCTATTCGCTCATTATTCTTCTCTTTCTTTTCATCCAATTGATGCTAACAGAAGCTCCCAAAGATGGAAAACAAAGTACATGGAAAGCAATCTTTCACAAGGCAAGTAAAAGAAGATCATGCTACTGTTATTTCTATGCATCGCTAGCCTTTGCAACTTCTCCTCCCCAATGCTTTATCCTGTCTCCAGCAATGGATGCCTGCACCAAAACATTAGGAGTATTCAACACTTTGCACTAAGTCTTTTTCAACGAACGAGTAAAGAAAATCTCAAAGTGGTTTAATCCATGGGCAAGCTTTCTATCCTTCCCCTACTATATAAAACTTATATACTTCTCCCTATCCAACTATCCATTTTTTTTTATGGATGGTTGAGATGGCCCAGTCACAATGTCAAGCCTCTACACTTTTTTATTTTTAGTTTTTTTTTACAAAGAACTTTGACACCAAAATTTTGAAGTCCACTTCTCTCTTAAACTCTCACCTGTAAAAAATATAAAACCAATATCCCTAATAAAATAAAACCACCAAAATGCCGTTGATTGTTCATGGATATTTTAGTCATTGTATTTTATTGAAAATATATTTTAAATTTTTTTTTAGGTGCGCCCCAATGGGATGATGGTATGCACCAAATTTCATATTTACATAGTTTGTAAAAAAAAATTAAAAAAAAAAGTACTTTGAGGTGTCAGATCTAGATCAAACGGTATATCACTCGATTTAAATTGGATGGTTGGATGGATGGCGAAGTACATATCTTCTATATAGTAGGGGAAGTATAAGGAAACAAAATAATATACCTCTTTGTTCCAATTTGTTCTGTATGTCATCCAAATGAGAATTAGTATTTGCACCCCAGTCCCAGCAAGCATCCCACTCCAAATTCCCTGGATAGCCAAGTTAATTGTGGTAATCAAGTAATTGAAATAAAAGTAATGATCCTATGATACCCTCTCACACCCACATGTGTAGGACCTTAAAAGATCACTATTAAATTTGTCACATATTACTAGAAAAGTTATCACATGGGTGTGAGACTTGATTTTTTAGAGATCTTTACTAAATTTAATGGTGATCCTTTGAGGTCCTACACACATGATGTGAGAGGATCTCATACGATCATTACACTTGAAACAAACACCACAAATAATTTAAGAAAAGGATATCTTGAAATCAATGAAATTTTGCTTGGGGATAGAGTGTCTTACTGTAACTCCAAAGTCAAGCTTGTAGCCCAACAGGAGACCTAGAGGAATGCCAAAAAAGTAATAGCATCCAATGTTTACATAAGCCACCAGAGTTTGCCAACCAACTCCAATGGCCGCCCCTAAAACAAAAAAGAAAAAAGAGAAAAAAGAAGATGGTGTAATTTATTATACAAACCATGAGATGAAATTTCAACTAAATTTCAACACAAACTAGGAGATAAACTTTCCTTTACTAGTGTGGAGGGTATCCATAATTTCATGGTTTGTCTTTATGGGCGTGTTTATTTGGGGGACGTTTCGGCTCCATGGAGTGCAACAGGATCGGCTTCCAGTTTTGCCCCATTTGGTTCCAAAAGGTGCAAAAAATGGAAGCTACAACTACCCCTTTCATGCCCCTCCATGTAGGCGAGATGTCCCAAGGTTTTGGCTTTTGAAGCTGAAATTTCCGCTAAACAACATGCTCAATAAGTTTATCAAGAAGTGCTAGTGGTAAAAGAAGGTATTATGAAATGTATTTGTAAATTAAGGCATAAAGCTGCATCTCAATTTTAAGAGAAATTGTGGCTAACCTGAGAGCACTGGTTGTACATTGCTCACCACAATGCAAATGCAAAGGAGAGGGGTGAGCTCAGAGACAAGCTTCTTTACTGCCTCACTATTTGTGAATGCTTTTGGCCACTCATTCTTTGTTGCTAACAAAATCATAGAGATAGCAAATCCCAACATGAAAGATGTGGTCACCACTACCACCACTGAAAACTTTGCGGTCCTTGCATGCCCAGCTCCCAATTCATTTGACACCCTCACACTACACAGAGATTTCCGATTCCCAATTCACTACAAAGAGATTGAGGGGTATAGAATTAAGGGAATAAGTATTTTGAAAAGCTGCAACCCTGCACGGCTACATGTCAAATCTCACCACGAAACCAAGTTCTGGCATTGGAAATCCTGCAAATCCTTCATCGGGACTTCATCAATCATGGATGTGAAAAAAATGTCATTTAAGCCCTCAACATGATTCATCTTGCAACATTTCTTTCATATTATCCATTTCAAGACTTCACAAGTCCACTATTTTTGCACCTATCTTTGGGCCTTCAAATTCTATAGTTAGAAGCAGAAATGGATTTGTACAGTTTTCCGGTTCCAATTTCCTTGACAAGTCTCTAAGATGTAGCCCAATCGACAAGCAAACCGCATGCCAGATCTGATATTTCTAATGAGTTTTTATGATGTACCCTTAACAAAAATAGTAAAACTGCAGCCTTACCAAAACCTCATTCAAAATTAAAATTAAGCTCTAAGTGATCTTCTTGTGATTATTTTTGACTTGGAACACTGTTTTACTATCCTTGTAGCCACATTGGATCCTATGGCAACCATAACAGCCCACGCGAGAATATTCATGCTGCATTATCCATATGCACACTTATCATTAATAAGGCAAATATGCATCTGCAATTCTCAATTCTCAAAAAAATAACAATTGGTTCATTGATGATGAGTGTAAGCGAGTGGATTCCACTAAGAAGATTCAATATGGCAAGGGAAACTTTTAGTCCGCGCAAAGGGCTCTCTCCCACGGAGCTTTAGGGATATCAAGTCACCTGTTAATACTGCGTAAACCTGACGATGTGGATTGGGAAAATCGGTCCGGATCAATAGATTGACAGTCTGACCTAGTGAACTTGCCATTAAAAAATTTTAAAAACTACAGAATAAACAAATTTTTAAAAATAAGTGGGACCGGTTCTCTAAAAGAACAGACCGGTTCATAGAGTGAGCTGACTAGTTCTTGATATTTAGCGGGTCTGGATCCCTGACCGATTCCCAATTTAGATTGGCTGGTTCCGATTCAGTTCATCAATTTAAGGAGCAGTTTTTTTTTTTTAAAAAAAAATCGCAAAATCCCCTCAAAATGGACTTTTTACGCACTTTACCCTACCCAACTTTTCCTACCAAATACCCCATACAAAAAAATTCATTTTTTTGACAAAAATACCCTTTCCTCACATAACAAGTTATTTTGGTTGGGGAAGGCGGTTGGACATTTTGAACAGGTGGTCCGGCGATTATTTTTGTTGGAATGGCTAGTCCGGTGTTTCATGGTGGCGGAACGGCGATTATTTTTTGCTGGAATGGGAGGTCCTGGCTTTTGAAGTTGTGGCCTAGCATTTTGAAGTGGCAGTCCGACGTTTTGATATGGCGGTCCGGCACTTTGAAGGGGCAGGCCGGCATTGTACAAATGCGGTCCGGTGTTTCCTTTAATTGTGATCCGAAAATGATTTGTTACATGAGGGAAGGGTATTTTCGTCAAAAAAAAAAACTTATAGTATAGGGGGTATTTGTTAAGAAACATGATTTTTTGTGGGAAGTTACTAGGAAAAGTTCGGTAGGTAAAGTGCGTAAAAAGTCCATTTTAGGGGGATTTTTGTAATTTTTCCTTTTTTTTTTTGCCTAGTCTAGTAATATTTTTCGAGTCCCAATATATGAAATATATTTAATTATAATTAAATATATAGATATTTTACTTTTTGGGTTGGGTACGATCGAGTATGGATCTAGTCGGACCCAACTTGGCCCGTCCCGTTGCCACCCCTAGCAAGCTATGCTATACCTACAGTCATGTGGTTACTAAGACATGGAACAGCTCCTTTAATGGCAAATGGGCTACTTTAAGAGATATAATTACCGGCAAAATAGCATATCTATCTATACTACAATATTAAGCCGTAGTTAAGGGATGGATACTTGTGGTAAAATTAACATAAGAGAGAATGTAGGGTACATGCCCTAGATAAAAAGAGTTTAAAGCAAAGTGTTTATGGTATATTTGTATTTCATAAACAATGAAAATCTTATTTTCTTAGGAAAGAAAGAGATTTTTACTTAGACCTATTTCTATGTCACGTCTCTATTATAGAAACAATTGAGGGAGGTTATCCAATAAGTACAGAGAGATCACAATAACCACAAAATTTAGGATGTCCCATGATTTGCAAGACAACATAGAGTTTAGCCAATAAGGAAAGAGAGATCACCATGACCCTAAAAAATAAGGATGTCGTAGGACTTTTATAAATTTTAGAAAAGAAATTATATGATATATTTAAGATATAGCTAAAATAAAGTTAAGAGGGAGAGGAGCCTTCTTTAGAGATAAAAGATATCTTTCACTAGAGATAATTTTCTTTTCTCGGTACAACTTACCTGTTATTAAAGAAACTTAGTCGCGTAACAAGAGAGTTTCCAACATAAAGAAACCAAATTTATAAGTAAAATTTGAAAAAAAAAAAGAAAAAGAATTTAATTAATTAATTAATTTAGTTTTTGAAATTTTAGACATATAATTTGATTAGTTAAAAAACATTATGTGTTAGAGACTTTTTTGGGGTATTTGAAGGATGGAGAGTTTAGAGAGAGAGATACCTACCATATATACTCAGGTATAATTTTTTTATGGTTTTAGGAAATCCAATTGACTAAATCTAAACAAATCTTTTCTAATATGAATATATCGTTATCTATCAATTTTTTGTTTCTCTTACTATTTATTTATTTATTATTATTATTATTATTATTATTTTCACCCACATTCTTTTATAATAGATCATTAAGATATTTTAGATAGAGATAAACGGAGAGAAAATGGAAAAGAGGCTTAAGAGAGAGAAAGAAAGTGATTGCCCTTGCTCTTCTCATTATGCTTTCCCCCTTTCCCTCTTCTCATTGTCTTCTATGTAGTGTTTTATTATTTAATATTGTTTCTTCATTGATTTTTTTTTTTTACTTCTGCTCTATCATTCTATAGAGATTTGTTTTGTTTATTTATCTATTCTCATAATTTGTTTTAGTTATTTTCATAGTGTGTAGGTATTAGTAAGGTATTCATACTTAACTCATTGTGCTTGACAATGGTCAAATACATTTTTAATGGTATATCATTTTATTTATATATTTATTTTTCTATTATTGTCAAAGATTCATTATTATTTTTTATTTTTATAGCTATCTCAATCAATTTTATTAGTTCCTTGTTTTTTTAGGTGTTAGTTTTTATTTTTAATTTGGCATGTTTGATTATAATTTTTGATGATGTACTTTAATTCCTTTAGATTGCTTTTGCATTTCATAAAGGGCGCGGTTTGTATAGAGCCAAGGATCTAAACAATCAAAGTAAAGCGCACTTCTAAATAGTGTTGACAAATGTGGTTTCAATGCTGGAAATCTTTGTGATAGCCTTAAATTCATATCTAATTATAAAATTTAAAGCTTAAAAAATAGTGTAGATTGAGTAGATCTATAAAAACTTAATAATTTTGAAAATAGACTCAAAAAATGCATTACAAGACGCACTATTTCTAAAACTTGAAATTCTTTTTTTTTACATGTCAATGCATCTTGAGGTTGAGACGATGAATTTGAAGATATTTGGGAATCAAAACAAACTCTTATGGTGAAATTTTTGAGATGTGCCCTAATTTGATTGCTTAGAGCCTCCCACTTATATAAACTTTTTTTTTTTTTTTTTTGACGACTTATATAAACTTTTATCCTTTCATAAATATGAATGTTTTGTATTTGAAGTTTGTTTTCTTAGATACAAGACGTGTGATGGAACATGTAGATCTTTATCCTCAATAATGAAGGAGGCAAGAAGGTATACTCTCAAGTCATTTTTCTGAATATTTTTAATTTTTAATTTTTAATTTATTTTATTTCACTATTTAGGTTTTTGAGAAATTTATCAAACATCATATAAGGGATCAAACATTTAATATTTTTCCAATGCATTTTGATTTAATTTCAAAATACACATCAAAATAGAAATAAACAAGAGATGATATAGTTGAATGAGGGTAAAATGTTAAAAATTTATGTGTATTTTCATAATTTTTTTTTTTCTTTTTTTTTTTCTTATATCAAGATTAGCATATGTTTTATTGACTCTCATTATAGTTCATGGCGCAATGCATTTAAATCTACCAGTCAAATCTACAAGTCAGTTAAGAAGGGAGAGAACGTGAAAATGTGCCTACCACATGGACAATCCGTCAATCGAAACTTCAGGGTTCTTAAGATATCCGGCAAAAATAATTAGCACCATGAAATACCATACCTCCAAACTGTCCAAAAAAAAAAAAAACAAATCGTATAAAAAATAAAGTCACAGAAAATGTTTAAGTGAACAATGAATAATTAACATTCTCTCTCTTTCATTGAACAATCAACATTCTCTCTCATTGAATAGCTAACATTCTCTCTCTCTCTCTGTCTCTCTCTCTCTCTCGCTCTCTCTCTCTCTCCTTACCACAACATAACTGCAGATGCTAGGGAGAGCCTAACAAAAGCCCACAGATTTTGAAATGCCTTCCATGAAAACCCACTCCAAGCCCTTCCACAGCTCCCACTAAAAATATAAACCAACTGAGCCACCACTATGAACCACCATGAGCCATTCAGCACCACTGCAGCTCCAACCATGCCCCAATTCAACTTGATCATCACCAACCAACTGAAGAAAGTGTGGAGCAATAGAGCAGTACTGGCTATGACAGCCATAGACATCATCCTGCTCTGTGCTTGTAAGAATTTCTGAATAGAGAAATACACAGCATATGCCAAGAGTTGGGGTATCATGTATAGGGAAAATAATCCTGCTGCATCAGCTATTCTGTGGTCTTGTCCAATGAGAATGAGGAATGGAGTGGCAAAGACATAGAATATGGAGAGTATGAGGGCAGTTGTGATGAGGATGACCCATGATCTTTGCATGTATATGCCTAGCATGTCCAATTGCCCAGCACCATAGGCTTGCCCACATAGTGTCTCTAGTGCACTTCCCATGCCCAGCTGCAAATGTTCAACAGGGTTAGGGAATTAAGATGGTATTTTTGCAAGTATGATATAGTTATCCTAGACCTCGGACCGCCTGGGCAGTGCCTCTAATACTTGGGACACTGAAGTACTAACTAAAAAACTCAATAAAAGAAATTAAAATTGGGTTTGAGTATTATATGTTCCGACTGAAAGGTAATTTTGAAAAACAAATTGTGTGTTGACCATCTTTCTTTTGTAATATTCAACACCTTTCTTCTTTGTAATATTCGACGATAACGGAGCATCTCATAGTTTCCGAACTTTTTTAGGGCTGGACGTAAATCACTCAAGAACTATTGTGAATGTAAACAAACAACTTATTAGGCACAAGAAAGTTGCAAGAAATCAATACTATCTTTCTTTCTTTTTTTTTTTCTTTATGATAAGAGTTTTGTTTATCATAATTGAAAGGAAATAGACATTATAAGAGGAGAACATGTATCATTAGTTAGACAGTCCATAAAACCCAATCATTACAACTAAGTACATCCATTTAAATCATCATCATCTGGTATTATTCTAATTATTTGAGATCCGTTATAAAAATCTTATTGTGTTGTTCTACTCTATCAAGGGACATACACTCAGACAGAATATAAGTCACTCTCTTTCTTTTTACTACTTCCAATTATATTCTTTTGGATATTCTCAATGTCTTTTTGAAGTTTTTCACTTAAACTAAATTGTATCTCTTAACCAGTGCATTTAATTATGGCCACAAAAATTATATACTCGGATGAGCTTCTCTACTTTCACTCCCTTGAGCAAACCTATTTAGGAATATTTGGGACGCCTGATTTTGCAATGTAGGGAAACAAATTATTAATAGCATTTTATAAGAAAGCAATTACATGCCATGCAAGGTATGGAATCAAATTCTCAAAAATTAATTTTTCTCCTAGAGAGGGATTTTCGACTAATCAAAACATGCCTTTGGTAAGTTCAAACTAAGTACAACAAAAGCTCTACAAGAAAACATTTTGACTATGGTACCTTTATAATATGACAAGTACCTTTATAATATGATAAGTACCTTTTTTAAAATAACTCCATTTATGGGTCTGGAACCATCACATCAACTCTAAAAAGCACCCCACCACCTCAAAATAGGAAGTGTCCTCATTGTCAATTCCCAAAAACGATTGATGCAGACTGGGTGGGGCCCATACTGGGTCCGACAGATCCGATTGTCACGTGGATCTACGGTGGATGCGACGCGTGCACATACACGCATGCCGACGGTGGATGCCATTACGTGATTTAGTAGGCGCATCCGTGGTATTCAAACTAACCCTCTTGTCACATATAGAAGAGCGTAAACCATGCTCCTGCGGGTGCCAAATGGATTCATACGACCTCAGGCAAAAGAGTTACTTGAAAGAGTTTGCTACTTGAAATTTAGGATCCCCTATGAATATGTAATAGCATATGATTATCTTTAAAGTACAAATTTGAATTTCAAGCTATTTAAGTCCTCTATGAATTGTATCCATCCATGTTTAATCTTGGGATGTTATTTAGTTTATTTAAGCACATGCAAAGTAAATTTGAAATTCTTTTTGATGGAGTCTATGTTGAAGATGATAGATCTTCAAAATTTTAGGTCCTAAAATTCTCCTGGATAAGATTTTATTTGAGGGGGTATATAGTATGATTTTGAGGGAGCATAAAAGCTTTTTATTTTAATATACAATAATATTTTACAATGGGTGGAGTGCATCGTTCACTTGCATATCCGGCTTGATTTGTTGGATTGATGAAGACCCAAATAGATTCAGAAAATATTAAAAAATTAATAAAATAAAAATAAAAATAAAAATTTAATTTATAATAAAATAAAAATTTCAATAGTAATTTATAATGTAGGATTTAAAGGGACTAAGGAAGCATTAGATAAGAAAAAAAAATATAAATAGAATTTTAAAGGTGAACTAGACCCATACCGTCGTCCGTCCTGATTAATTTATATCTAAATCAGTCATTGAGATAAAAAATCTTAGGGTGTAAGAACACTGTTATATAGTAAACTACTAAAATAATGAAGAACACGTAAAAGGAAAGGACGACTCTCCGTGACAACAAAAACTACAAATACATGTGAAAAGAGAAAAGAGATTTACATATGAACCCGAAAACTTTACCAAAAAAATGGAAAAAATTTTGGGCCAAAATTACACAGAAGGTCAGTAAACAATAAATTTTTATGGGAAAAGTATAGAATGAGACAATTTACCTTTGGTACAAGTGGTCACAATTAATCTTGACCATTGGATGTGAAATTGGGTGGCTACATTTATTCCATTGACCAAACTCAGATTTAAAAAGAAAATTTTTGAAATTTTGATACCCCCAAACTATCAAATTTCACATCGGATGGTTGTAAGTAAGTGTGACCATATTGTATTAAAAGTAAATAGTCTCATTATATACAATCTTTTTTTTATTTTTTTCAAAATTACCCCTCAACCGGAGGATGCTATCTTTAGATCTTTTATTTATTTATTTTTATTAGTAGGGTAGGGCCCAGCATACCACCCTCTGGACTAAGCAAGCCATTTCTTGAGTGGTCCGAGATCCCCATCCTCGGACCTCTCTTTCTTTCTTATTTTTTGAGAAAAATAGTGGTATGAGATTCTCATTCTTGGACCACACTTTATTTTTTTTGTTTTTTCAGAAAAATAGCGGTCCGAGGATAGGACAATTTCCAAGCGGTCCGAGGTCCCCATCTTGAGTTTGTGCTTTATTTCTTATTTTTTGAGAAAAATATCTAATGGGGTTTTGATGTGTTTGCAAGGCGGTCCAAGGATTCTAAGTGAATCCTCAAACCGCTTGGGGACTGCCTCTAAGCTTTCGGCACTGCCCTTCTAACAAAAAACTAAAAAAAAAAAAAAGCGTAGTTCTTGGATATAAAATCCTTGAACCAATGGGTAATTTTGAAAAAAAAAAAAAAAAAAGGTACAATGACGACCTTCCTCGCAATTTCTGCCTATAATTGAATCATTTTGTATTTTAGGTAATTATTTATGGTCAGTAAATAATTTACTTAAAAAAAAAAAAAAAAAAATATTGTACTTATAGAAGTAAACATCGATAATTTTCCACGATATGATAGGCGTTAGAAGTAGGGAGGTAGAAGGCTTACTTTGTTAATTTGTACTTTTATACACAAAAGAGATCCAATCAATACAATTTCTTCACTATATTATTTTACAAAAACATCATCATCATTATCATCATTTTAGTTTTTTTCCAATTAATTAAGATCTGCTACATGAATCTTGATTTTCCATTCTGCTCTTTTTAAAATGACTCTTGTATAAAATCATAATACATAGATATATATACCTCTTGAGATCTTTATGGACTCTTTCTACACATTTTTAATGCAGTTTTCCCTCTCTTAACATATACCGTAATTGCTTGGACGTAATAAAAAAAGTATACAAAAAAGTTCTAGGCTTCACTCGTTCCAAAGTTCAAATTTGCATGCATTATATGCTTTTAGATTCCTCTCTTCCAATCTTGGAACCGGGACCTTGAAACTCTACAAAATTCTCAGTACAATCATTCCAAAATTCCCTTTCAAATGAGTTTTCCAAAATGTACAATCATTCCAAATTTCCCCTTCAAATGAGTTTTCCAAAATGTCTCTTATATTTAAACATAATGGCTCAAATACCCTTAATCAAAATCAAATAATTTCTGCTAGACCTGTTTGGTAAGTATTAATTTCTTATTTTTTAAAATTTTCCTTGTTTTAGTTAGAAATTAGAACAAAGTAATCTCACTCTTTCAACATTTCTATTGGTAGAGAGAGAGCTTTCCACATTTCAAGTGGTAGAGAGAGAGAGAGAGAGAGAGAGAAGGGTAAATTGTATTACATTTCGTTCTATTATTAGGAAGCGAGTTAAAGATTGGGCTTTGCATCATCCAATTCCCCTTGATAGAGAGAGATATCATTCGTATTAGATGCAAGTTTTCGATGAATCGCCGCGTCCAACTCGGAACACGCCGAGTAAACTGGAATGGGCAACTGGCCGTGCCGGTTTCTTTAGCGTCCGGCCCATTGTTTTAGAAAAAACTCCAAAGAAATTAAAAATATACGGTACTCTATATTTTTTGGATTTTTTTAAAAAAATTAATTCTTTTAACAAGTATGCTTGGGACCTGCCGTTAAATCAGCCGGATCGCAAGTTATTCGGACCCGGGCTTGGCTGGTTTCCGGGTCTGGTTCCATTTATTGATCTCAGAGGAGAGAGGGAGAGAGAGCATGTGGGGAGAAACACTAAAACATATATTGGGTTTGGGCCACGAGAGTGTTACTCGTTGAGAGATAGATATTAGGGTTTGCCAATAAGAGAGAGAGAGAGAGAGGTTTCCTTACCAGTAGACCATAAGAGAAGCCAGCTATAACAGAATTCTCCACGGACACAGCAGCAAGCTCAAGGGTACCCACATGGCCTGCAAATGCTTGAGTGATGGCACCCAGCGAGTACAGACATGTCGAAGTGAATATAGCAGGCCCGGCCAAATACCATAGCTTCTTCGATTCAACCACAAACTCTCTATTGAACTCACCCAAGCTCTTAATGGATTCTATGCCCCCTTCAAATTCAATGAAGCCACTCCTATTTCCTCGGCTTTCTCGATTCAAAAGAGGCTCATGCTCATCCTCCATCTCTCTCTCCTTTGGGGATCAAAACTAGATAAAGAATGACATGGGTTTCTCTCTGTGTGTGACTTGCAATGCTCTCTCTCTCTCAGTCTCTCAAAGTAGAAACTACGAGGGAGAGGGAGATGGGGCTTCTCTCCCTTCCGAATTTCACTAAGTAATAACCTGTTGAGATTGCTTACCCCACAAGCTAAAAGGGAAAATAACATCACCTCTCTCTCTCTCTCGCTATTATAATTTCACATTAAAATTTAAAGAGCATCTCTCTCTACTCCCCTCCCTAGTGAACGTCCAAGGAAGCTCTCCAAGTGAAATAGCTCTCTCTCTCTCTCTCTCTCTAAGTGAAATGGGTCTATTTCTCTGCCCTTGGATCTCTTCTAGCATTAGTGCGGAAGAAGTTAAATAGAGGTGACCGAAGGAGAAGGGCATTACATTTAGGAAATTGTTTATATAAGATTGCAACTTTATATTGTTGAGGTAAGTTGCATCTCAAAAATCGTATAGTATAAAGTGTTCCCGCATAGGATAAACCTCAAACGAATCATTTCGACCTTGAGACGAATGGACATGAAAAAAAAAAGAATTTTAAATTTAAAAAATAGTGTATTTTGTAAGAAGTTATCTGGACTGTCTATTTTCAATATTTTCTAATGTGTTTTGATCTGTTCGACCTGGATCATTTTTGAAATTTCAAATTTTATAACTGAGAATAAAAAGAGATTTTGAAGCCATCATAAGGTTTTGGATGCCGAAACCACATCTTTTGAGTAAATTTTATAGATGCACTGACTTCTACGAGATAAGGAGGCAATCCCAGTAGTGTTTTGTGTTTACACTCACCCGCCGGCTTTGGAGTTTTTTTTCTTTTTTAATTTAAACTTGTTTGGATGTGAGGCTAATCCATAGGCTTATACCCTTGTTTTACATAAAATGTCAAATTTGATGTCACTTTCTCCATTTCCTCGTGGACTGCCTCAATTCCTCGGCGATTTAAATTTCGTAGGGGGAAATGTTATATTGTTACTATGATACGCAAGTTGATCATTGTAATAGTAGGTCTTAAGATCATGAGTGAGATCACTAGAATGGATGGTGATGAAGGAAGAGCGTCAATTTGATAGGGGAAGTGTTATACTGTTACTATAATCCGTAAGTTGATCACTGTAATAGTAGGTCATAGGACATCAGTGAGATTAGTAAAATGGATGGTGATGAAGGAAGAGCGGACCCACCAACCATTTCAAAATGGACTGTATGCTTCAGTGTTAGTTCATTACTGAGGTACGACACGTATGAACTTATGTAGATACTGTTAGCATGATCATCTGGATCACAATAACGTCTCAGAATCATCTCGGGCCTCATACTCGGATCTGGCTAGAGCCAAGTAACTCGGCTGAGTCCACCCAGACTCATAGGAATAATGTACTTGGCCCAAATAGCTTTGAATATTAAAAAATCCAAAATACTGAAAGATAAAATGAAAACTTTAAAAGCAAAACAAAACTAAGAACTAATATTATCATCGTCAATACCTTTTTTCCAACTAGCATAAAGAATCTAAACAAGCAAAAAAATGTATAAAAACTATGGACTAAAAGAAACGTATTTATGATCGGAGATATTTCAGAAAAAAACTAAATTAAATTGAAAAATAAAAATTTTTGGCGTTTCACCGTAAAAACTCACAAATAGTGTACAACACATCCAAGTTGCATGGATAATTTTATACATTGATCCTAGAATTCTATATAATTTCTATATTGTTTAATTTTATTTGTATTTACTATACTCAGAGTTGCACTAAGGTAAGTTCAAGTAACTTAGTAGCTAAACACTGGATAATAGAATAATTTTCCTTGTTATTATAGCGCCATTAATTAAAGTAGGCCATGCATTATCTGCCAGGATTATTGTATTAATGGTATGTTTGTATCTTCATCGGAAGTTGTGGGTAACGTTAATAATGAAAAGTATAAGATAATGTTATTATCTTAGTACAAGGAGTTTATAATCATTAATAACCATTAAATTTAAAATCAGATAGTTGGGAATACGCCATTCGTTTGAGGTCTGAATGTTTAGAATGATTGTGATGTTCTTGTAACGAAGAAAAATAGTCTGATGATATAAAATCTCCTTTGATAAAAATAGCTCAAAAAATCCCCAGTACTATTGTAATTTCTCCTTATTACCATATCCTACTTCCGTACAGTTTCAAGAAATATTTTCAAATACATTTTAAGGCATATTTTTTTATTTGTTTTGAGCGACCAATAATTGATGTTTGATAACTGATCAACCCCATCCCAATGAAAAAAATGACAAAAATAAATGATTCCCTCAAAGCTGCCGTCTCCAAAAGAAATTTACTATTTTAATGTTTAGACCAATTGGGGTAATGGTGTAATTTCAGCATTCGTCACGGGCTTTTATGAGGTCAAAATAATACCGAATTTTAAATCGTTAATTAAGCAGCTCAAATTAAATTCTCACTTAGTCCTCATGATTCGTAGTTATGTAAAAAATATAATCAAAGCAGATAATAATTACTTACAAATTATGCCTAAAAATACCAAAATACCCAAATAAAGTGACCAGCTTTTCAAAACTCGGCTCAGGCCTTGGACTCGGCCTTAACCTAACCTGAGTAACTGCCGAGTGCCGAGTAATTAAGAAGGTTTAAAAAATCAAAAGAAAGATGTAAAAGTTTTTTGGAAAATTATTAAAAATTAGAAAAAATATTAAAATAAGTATTAGAATTCATTAGAAGCCCTGAGATGGATTATTGCAAATTTTGATTTATACCTTAGAAATATTCATGAAAATCAAAGAGGAAGAAAAAATAAAAATCGGAACATGCTAAGAGAAAATTCTCAAATCCTCATGAAAACATGTAAATAATCTAAACATATATTCCTAAATGATTTAAGAATTTGACACAAAAATTAGACATTTTCAATCATTTTAAAAAGGCCGAGTTGATCTCTAGAACTTGCCTCGGCCCAAGTCCTAGGAACAATGCTAGATGACTAGGGCAAATAACAAAAAGAATGACATTGCCAAAGTACTATAATACATTTGATTTTAATTAATTGGGATTATATAGTATGTTATCATTTATCTTTGCTATATGGAGGTCACAATTACTCAACTATTCGATATCAAATTGGATCGCTTAATGTATTTCATGAAGTTCAAATTTTTTTTTTTTAACTTGTAGTCCAGTTAGTGACGCTCTAAAAACCACCCAATTTTAAGTCTGACAAACAAGAATGATTGTAACCTCCTTATATGAAAAAATAAATAAATTTACTATATGTTATTCCTAATTAATTTGAGAACTACAATAATACCTTCATTGCTTCAACTAGTGCAATGACCAAAATAACGTCTAGTTGAATGACCAAAATAACCTTGACTGCAGATGCAAGAGAGAACCTCACAAAACTCCACAAATTCTCAAATGCCTTCCATGAGAAACCACTCCATGCCCTCCCACATGTCCCACTAAAGATATAAGCCAATTGCACCACTATTATGAACCACTATGAGCCATTCAAAGCCACCGCAGCTCCAACCACCCCACAATCCAGCTTTATAATAAGCAGCCAACTGAAGAAAGTGTGCAACCCTAAGGCTATTGCAGATATAATTGCAATGGCCATGACTTTGCTTTGTGCCTGTAAGAATTTGGCTATGGGAAAGTTCAAGGCATAGGCAAAAAGATGGGGGATCATGTAGTGAGCAAAGTTGCATGTGCTTTGGCAATGCTGGTTCGTAGCCCAATTAGGAGGAGGAATGGTGTGGAAAAGATGTAGAGTAGTAGTAGTATTAGTGAAGCGTAGATGAGGATGACCTATGATCTTTGCATGTCTACACCCATCATTTCTAGTTGCCCTGCTCCATAGGCTTGGCCACATAGAGTCTCTAGTCCCCCCCCCCCCCCTTGCCCAACTGCACACATGTAGTAGGGCTTTGTTAGGGTTGGTGGTGTAAAACAAGGACTCCGATCAGGTATCGCTAGGTTCTCGGGCCCGACTCAGATCTGACAAGCTTAGTTCAATAGATTTGGTTGAGTTCTATAAAATAATAATAAAAGTGATTGTCTATAAAGAGACCATTTATCTTTTGCATATGGAGGTTATAATCATTATTGTCTCTTAAATTTTAAAAATGGATAGCTGTAAGAGTGTTATTGAATAGACACAACGTTCAAAAAAAAATTTCTCCAACTTCATAACTCATCCCAAGCCATCCAATTTGACACCTAATGAATGATAATGATTGTGAAATGGTCTTTTTGTAAATAATCTTGTAATAAAATATGGGATTGTATACAATAAGACCATTTACTTTTAGTACAGGGAGGTCATAATTGCTTGTAACCATCCAATGTAAAATCTGATAGCTTGGGTGTCACAAAGTTTGAAAATTTTCTTTTGAGCTTTGAGTTTGGTTAATAAAATAAATGCACCGACCCAATTTCACATCCAACAATCAAGATTAATTGTGACCATCTTGTACCAAACGTAAATGGTCTCATTATGTACTTTCCCATAGGATATAGGGAACCAACTTGACATGACCGGCTCCTACTAGTTTGGTTCTGAACTCTGCAGCTTGTCGAGCCTGATTAACTTGGGCGAGTCCGATTTGAACTCACAAGTTTGACTCCCTGGTTAGTGGATTGATGGTGCCAATGATGTCCTTTTTTGAGTCTGGTGCATGGACACGTTGTAAAAAAGAGAAGAAAATATTTTTTTAAGGAGACTTAATAGTTTTGAAGCACCAAACATTTGGAAAACAATGGGCACTTCAATCATTCCATTAAGACATATTTAGTAAAATTTTACCATAGTTTTTAGGACATGTTGAAAGAAATTGAAGATCACATAAGCCCAACACATAGCTTCATTGAAAGAGAAATTCAAAACTTTTTAGTTTTAGAGTATAACTGATTAAAATAAAAATTTAAAAACAAACTCAAATGTAATTTGTAATCTGTTGACCTTTTTAATAAATTTATAAAAAAATTAACTTCATATTTACCCTTTTCTATTTCCAATTTGGAGGCGGTTCACACGTTCTTCAAGGACTCAAAAGTGGACACATTACATAATAGACGGTAACTAACATTTGCGGTGTTTAATGTCCTTTGCTTTTGTCTACTTTAAAGATGTGACACGAATTGGGTAAATTATTTCTAGATTTAGCACTTCTCCTTAGGCACGAGTGTTTCAAAGCCGATGTTTTGAACCGGATTTGTTTGATTCGAGTAGTTGGGCGATCTGGTTTTAGGAAACTGTGGAATAGTGCACTGATACGATTAGAGAACCGGCTGACTCGGATCGGGAGAACCAGAACCAGTCCCATGATGGATTGGGGTCTGGATCCCTGTTTTAAGACACTGTATATGCTACACTGCAGAGAAAGGCGTGTGTACCTGCTATCCACCGTCCATTAATGAGACCTGATGGTGATGGTCCATTTGTGGACCCTATGCTATAGTTCTCTTTCTCTCTTGGGAAAGCAAGGAGATGCTTTACCCAATAAACCCAAATAGATGCTTTCACCAGGAGATGAAATTAAGAGAGATTCATAAGCCGTGTTTCTGGACTCGGCCAATGGATGAGTCCGAGTACCATGTACCTATTGTTTATATATATTTGTCCCTGCAACTTTATTTATAGGGCATCAAAGTGAGTTGTGGGCTTCTGTTTGAATCCTCCCAAACATGATCATGGTTAAAAAAAGCCCTAAAAAGCAGACCTTTCTCATACTATTAAAAGAAAAAACCCCTATCTTTCTTATTTTATTAAAAATAAAATTTATTAAAATAAAATTTATTAAAATAAAATTTATTAAAATAAAATTTATTAAAATAAAAATTTTATTAAAATAAAAAAGCCTGCTCTTATTTTATTAAAAAATAACTTTTTGAAAGTTGAATGATTTTACACTATAAAATTGTGGTAGAAAAGATAAGTATTTTCCTCAAACTAAGTTGCTAAGGGGATTCACCTAAAGGTTTTTTATTTGTGATAAAGGACTTCATGGTTCCATTAGAGAGCTTAGTCTAAACTTGATTTCCTGGTTGAGATTGAAGGTTGATCGTTGATCTGATGCCATCGGATGGTGATGATTCGGTGCGGGGTAATAAGCCCGGTTGAGATAATTTTCAGCACTCTTTTTGTTTGTTGCCATATTTAATGATATTGTTTTTATATTTCCAAGTATAAGAATTGTAAATCATTGTTTAAAGAAAATTGGTTTAATGGCATCAAGGTTTTTAAGATATCGGATTTGTTAGTTTTATTTTTTTTGAAGTAAGAATTATTGTAATAAGACTGATCTTTACCGAAAGAAAAGAAAAAGAAAAAAAAATGAGTGAAAAAAAAAAAATCTATCTCCCGACAAGATCACATTAGTCTTTCTTTCAACCCACCTCAACCGATAGCAATCCATCAATTCTCAACTCAACTCTCTCTCTCTCTCATTTAGGTGTACCTTCTCACCCCCTAAGAGCTGAAATTCAAATGAAAGACCAAATGATCATCGGAGGTAAATGGCCACAAAATTACACTCCAAAATCTTGAAGTTTCATATCATCTCAAGGAAATCCACTTCTCAAATCGCTGCAATAACATTCATCAAATCAGTGGATCTAATATTCTGCTAACAAAATCAAGGGAAGAACCACACGTTACAAGTTGAACAATTACAATTAGGCCAACATAAATTCCTAGATTCGAAAGCAATGATGAATAGCATTATTCTTTTCACTCATTATTCTTCTCTTTCTTTTGATCCAATTGATGCAAACAAAAGCCCCCATTGAAGGAAAACAAAGCAAATGGAAAATAATCTTGCACAGAGTAAAAGAAGATCATGTTACTTCTATTTCTATGCATCACTAGCCTTTACAGCTTCTCCTCCCCAATGCTTTATCCTGTCCCCAGCTATGGATGCCTGCACCAAAACATTAGGAATATTCAAAACTTCGTACAAACTCTTATTCAACTAACAAGTAAAGAAGTGGTTCTATCCAGATTATTAATATAACACATGAATTCGTGTAGCCAACCTCAATTAATTAGAAAAATTTTATAATGCTAACTAAAATAACATAAGAAAACGAAGTAATATACCTCTGTGTTCCAATTTGTTCTGTATGTCATCCAAATGAGAATTAGTGTTTGCACCCCAGTCCCGGCAAGCATTCCACACCAAATTCCCTGAATGGGCAAGTGAATTTTGGTAATTAGGTGATTGATACAGACACTAGAAATAGTTACAGAAAAGGGTTTGTTGATATCAATGAAAATTTGCTTGGGGACGGAGTGTCTTACTGTGACTCCAAAGTCAAGCTTGTAGCCCAAGAGGAGGCCTAGAGGAATGCCAAAAATGTAATAGCATCCAATGTTCACATAAGCCACCAGAGCTTGCCACCCAGCTCCAATGGCCACCCCTGCAAAAGAAAGATAAATAAATAAAAAGGATGGTGTAACTTATTGTACAAACTATGAGATGAAATTTCATCTGAATTTCACTACAAACTAGGAGATGAACTTAACTTTACTAGTGCAAAGGGGATCGATAATTTCATTGTTTCTCCTAATGGAGGTGTTTGTTTGGTGGAGGTTTCGGATTTGGAAGTCAAGAACTCTGAATCTTTCAGGTCTGTGGAGGGAAACAGAAGGAGCGGCTTCCAGTTTTCCTTCATTTGGTTCCAAAAAAGGGGGAAAAATGGAAGCTACAACTGCCCCTTCTATGCCTCTCTATGTAGTCGAGATGTCCTGAGGATTTGGCTTCTGAAGCTGAAAATTCAGCTAAACAAATATGATCTATAAGTCTTATCAAGAAGTACTGGTGGTAAAAAGAAGGTATTATGAATGTATTTGTAAATTAAGGCATAAGGCTGCATCTAAATTTTAGGAGAAAATGTGGCTAACCTGAGAGCACTGGCTGTACATTGTTCACTACAATGGATATGCAAAGGAGAGGGGTGAGCTCAGAAACAAGCTTCTTTACTGCCTCACTGCTCGTGAATGCTTTTGGCCACTCATTCTTTGATGCTAACAAAATCATTGAGATAACAAATCCCAACATTAAAGATGTGGTCACCACTACCACCACTGCAAACTTTGCAGTTCTTGGATGCCCAGCTCCCAATTCATTCGACACCCTCACACTACACAAAGATTTCCAGTTCACAATTCACCACAAAAAGATAACAGGGGTATAGAATTGAGGGTAAGTATTTTGAAAAGCCGCAGCCCTGCACAGCTACATGTCATATCTCACCAGGAAACCAACTTCTGGCACTGGAAATCTGGCAAATCTTTCATCATGACTTCGACAATCATGGATGTGAAAAAAATGTCATCTAGGCCTTAAACAAGATTCATCTTGCAACAATTTTTTTCATATCTTCCATTTCAAGTCTCACAAGTCCACTGTTTTTGCATCATCTTTGGACCTTTAAATTCTACAGTTAGAGGCAAAAAAGGATTTTCACCATTTTCCAGTGCCGGTTATGATTTCGTTGACAATTCTCTGAGATGCAGCCCAACCAACAAGCAAAACCGCATGCCAGATCTGATCATTATGATGAGTTCTAATGAATAGTAAAACTGCGGGCTTACCAAAACCTTATTCAAAATTAAAATTAAGCTCTAAGTGATCTCCATGTGAATATTTTTGACTTGGAACACAGTTTTACTAACCTTGTAGCCGCATTGGATCCTATGGCAAGCATAACAGCCCAACCGAGAATATTCATGCTGCATTAACCATATGCACACAAACCAAATTAAGGATAGGATGGTATCATTTCAAACATGCATGTCCAATTCTCTACAAAGATAGTATCATTAGGAAATGGATAGTATCATTAGGAAATGGGCTGGGTCGTGGTGGTGCTAGTACCTCCATACCTAGTTACTACATTGTAGTTTTCAATCCCGGTGACACCTTCAAAAAAAACTTTCTCCCTAGTTTATGTTTAGAAACGGGCAGGACTTGTCTTACCCACTAAATTACCCAAAATAAAAAAAAAAACAATAATTGGCTCATTGATGATGGGAAATGAGCCGATTCAACTAAGAAGATTAGATACGGAGTTTTAGGGATTTCTGTCCACCTGATATTCGTGTTTAAAACCCAACGATCTAGATTGTGAATTGCCGATCTGGATTGGGAATCAGCTGGCTCCCAACCGGTTTCAGGAATGTATTAGTCACCCTTGAAATCCTTCAATTTATATTTGTTTTTGTTTTTTAAGCTTATATAATATGTTCATCCCCTTTAAATCCCTATAAGCCCATATTTTAATTTTTAATATTTATTATTTTTAAGAGTTTTCTCGATCACCAATTTGGACCGATCCTGACCTATCGAACTTGAAAATTCGATGATTCGATATGGATCTGTGGGGCGGACAAGCTACCCCATCGATCCAGTTTTCAAATGCTATATGTACACACGTGAAAAATTACAAACAAAATTTCAAAAACTTAAAAGAATAGTAATGAAAATTCAGTAAATATAGGCCGTCTATTTTAAGTAAGGGAAAAGTTTATATAGAGTTGAGGTTATCTAAACAATCAAATTAGAGCCTACCTCAAAATTTCATTAGAAGAGGTTGTTTTGATGCCCAAATATCCTCAAATTGATCATCTCGACATTAAGATGCATGGACATGAGAAAAAAATGGATTTCAAGTTTTGAAAATAATGTATTTTATATTGCAATTTTTTACCGTCAATTTTTAAGATTTTCAAGGATTCATAGATCTATCGATCTGCACTATTTTTTAAGATTTAAACTTTATAAATAAAAATGAAATTATATTTTAAGGCATCACAAAGGTTTCCACTATTGAAACCATATTTCTCGACACTATTCGAAGCTAGGCTCTAATTTGTTTGTTTGGAGGCTATGCTCTATACAAACCACACCCTTTAAGAAATGATTATGGTCCCTTTAAGAAATGATTATGGTCCTTTGGGATTTTTATTGTCACAAATTTTATAAGTTGCACATTGGTCATTGGATGAAAACTCCCGAAAAGAAAATTTGAATTTGATTTATCTAAAGGCATGTTGGTACTCGTAAAAATTGATATGAAAAAACCTCGACAACTAATCACATGAGGAGTTTTTCTTACATGAAAATACTTTCATCGAAGTATTTTCGTGCTTACCAAACGTGCCTTAACAGTTTGTGAATTAGATAACCTATTAAGGTAAAATAATAATAATAATTTAGTTTGTCAATAGGCTAGATGTAGCTCACTTTTGAATCGAAAAATGGGTCGAAAAGTATGGAGTGCCAAAAAATTTGAGAAAAGAAAAAAGATAATATTATCTCAGATTTGTTTATTAAAAATGGACTTAAAAACGGTTACGTATATGGGTGTTTTTAGATGATTTTGTCTTGCGAGCGCTACTATATAAGTAAGACCAATGTTTAAAAACCTAAGCAAGTGGGGTCGATCAGACACCGACATATCTGTGTTGGAATGTTGGATCGGTGATCCAGATCGTGTTTGAGTTGTTTAGAAACATTGATCTAAAGAATATTAAAATAAATAAAATTAAATTAAAATGAAAATAGGGATTTATAGGGGGACTTAAGTGAACCTACAAAAACATCATACAAGTTTAAAGGAAAAAAAGAAAAAATATATAAAAGGAGGTGGTTTTGAAAGAAAGACCTATGTGATCTTTCCCACGGGAATATAATTTTTTTTTTTTTAAAGATAATAATCACCCCTTTTTATTTTGGCAAAAAGATCACTTATAGAAGGTCATTTACAATAAATAAATATTTCAAAATAAAACAAGACAACAATAAAAATAAAACTCAATCACTTGATGTCATTTTTATAACTTAATACTATGCTTGATAATATAAAATAAAAGAGCAAAGTAAGTAAAAGAGAAGATGTGAGAGATTACCTCAACTGGGCATATTACACCCCACATCGAGTCACCATATCTAATGGCGCGGGATTAGCGGTCTAGCTGCAATCTCGAATCGAGAAAACTAATTTAGGCCAAACTAGATAACCACCCTTAAATCTCTACAAAACCCTAACTCCAAAATAATTAGACTCGAACCCTAATTTTTTCCAACCCTTAAGTTAGATCATGAGAGAGAGAGTCTTTATGTTGGGCGTGCTCCCCTAGGGTCTTTAGGAGAGAGAGTTAGAGAGAGAAAATAAGGGCGGAGAGAGAGAGGTGTGGCCCTTAAGAAGGAGAGAGAGAGAGAGAGAGAGTTTATGGGAGAGAGAGAGGTGTGTAGAGATGTTGGAGAGCTCCCTTATTTATAGTGAAATTTAGGTCTAGGGTTTCTCATAGTTTGCCTCTTTCTTGAAATTGAATATGAACCGTTGATAAATGTGATTTGTGGGGTGAGAGATCTGAGTCCTCATTTCCATAAATGAGTTATCAACATTATGGAAGGTGCATGAACCATTATCTCCCTTTCCTTAAACCATTTTCCCATCAATATATTTAATAAATTAAATCTATTAAAGATATCATTCATTCCATAAAATTGCATTATCCATCTCATATATTCCATAAGAATATATCAAGAAATATCAAGTCAAGATATTCTATCAATAATCAATATAAGATATGGTTAATATTTGACCATATGCTTATAAGATAGACTTTCCAAAAATTACAAAACTTGATATCAAAGTAATAAGAAAGGAAGCAATGGGTGGGGCGTGCCACCCATATGTGGCAAATGTGGGCCCCCACCCATTTGCCACATGGTGGGGCCCATGTGCACTATGGGGCCCCATGAAAATTTTATAAATATTTTAAACTAGTCTTTAAATATTATTCGAATTTTATATAATTCTTAAAATCAATAACTCCCCACCCATTGAGGAGTGGAATTTTATATAATTCCAAAAATCATAAATAAATTATCAAATGACTTATAAAAATTCCAATAATAAATCTAAAATAATTTAATAATAAAAAGAACAAAATTAAATTAATATGATGGGAAGTGGATCCATATGGTTCAGGGATTCTGTCAATGATCATGGGGTACTTCACCTTCAACTGTGGACTACAACCCACACTTGTTTTATCAAATCGATCAAGTGTTTTCTATGACCCACAGTCCAAACAAGGGCTCATTAGCGGGTCACCAAAGTCTGGCTAATAAGCCAAGGAGTCGCAATCCCAATTTGTCGATTACGGGTCCTCCCCTAGAGATGAGTCAAGGTCACTACGACCTGATGCGTCCACAGCTCTATGGTGCACAGGGGTATCTCTCTCGCACATACATACGCTTCACCCAAAGGTGGATAACTGGCTTGCCCGAACGGTCTATCGATATGCATGTCGTGTGATGGAATATGGATGAGGATTTAGCCCCCGTCTATGTAGGCCTACCATCACACACAATGGTCACACAATCCCTCAGCTCTCTCATCTAGGCATAAGCTCCGACCTCATCAAGGGCTAACCCAAAACCCTTCTCGATTTATTCTTTATGCCCAGGTACCTTGGGTTTTCCAACCGACTGGCCTAGATCGTCAAGCACAGTTCGATATCAGCAAACATCATTTGTTTAGTATGATCTTCGAGGAACCACACTCCCATTGAGTTTATGTTCAACTATAATAAATGTTTTTCATTACACCAACATATAAAAGGAGGTGGTTTTGTTAGTACTTTTGGTTTGAAAAATGCTTAAGTGTCTTTCAAAACAACTTTGGTTTTATTGTTATTTCCTAAAAAGCTTTGTACATATATAAAGATTTGGGTTTGAGTCCCACATTGAAGAGGAGAGAGTTTTTGAGGTTTATTTAAGAGCACACATTCCTATAAAATATATTCTAAGTACAAATGAGAGAGAAAATACATGTGTAGAGCACACGAAGAGTGCGGCACGTATGTGCGTGTGCTCAAGGGTGCTTGATGGCGCACGTCCACCCTTGTGTGCACGCTGACATCGGCATGTGAGGTGCCCCTCTTCCACCCTTACGTGCACGCTCACATCGGCACGTGAGGTTGCCCCTCATTCGAGTACGGGGCAAGCGTCCAAGTATGGGTCAAAGCTTGTGGCTCGTTATCTCTTTATGAGCCTAGCTCATAGGGGGGTCCAATTATTGTGAGCTTAGCTCGTAGGGGGATCCAATGGTCATCTAGCCGTTGATGCATGTAGAACATCCAATGGTCTTCTAGCTGATCATTTGTGAGCTAGCTCGTAAGGGAATCCAACGGTCATCTAGCCATTGATGTGTGTGGGACATCCAATGGTTTTCTAGCTGATGAGATGGAGTGAGCTTGTAAGAGCAGGCATCAAGTGCATGTAACTTGTAACTGAGGGGTGGTGCATGTAACCACTACAATACTAAATGAGTTGCTCTTGGTGCTCTATAACAAGGGTCCTCCTACCCATACGAGTTAGAACCTTTTGAGCACACTTTAGATTTTGCTCTATAAGGGTACTTGATGGCG